GCTGCCAAAGTTACCACTGTTTCTGTGGTTGCCAAAGTTGCCATTCTTATTGCCAAAGTTGCCACGGTTACCACCTCTCTGAAACTACAGAGGAAGAAACCATGAAATAGCCAAAAACCTCAGCATGTAGCAACAGCTGCTATGAAATGTGTGTAGGATTCAACCACTTATAGAAAACTGACTGCAGTTAGGTTTACAACCCATTTTTAACAAAGGCTACAGGTACATGACGCTGTCGATTTATGTAACAGTATAAATACATTAAATGTTCTTGGTGCAACAGATATTGCCTTAAAGCCTCTGCAGTCAGAACATCATGATTTACAAGTGCCATCAGCAAAGCCACCTGGTTGGGATGTCCCCTGTTTCCACCACGATTCATACTGGCTCCACCTCCTCTGCTCATGTTCCCTCTGTTAACTGGGCCACCTCTGTTCATGGGTCCCCCTCTGGGTCCCATGTTACCCCTCATTGGTCCACCCCTGGGGGACCCGCCTAGGCTGGGAATATGGCCACCACCCCGGTTGAAGTTTCCACGGTTGGGAAATCCTCCCCTGAAGGAAGGAGGAGGTAGGAAGCCGCGAGGTGGGCGGTTGAAGCCGCCACGGGGTCCAGGACCTGTAGACAGATCACAGCACAAATGAATGCATGAATGCAATTTCAGCTACCTAAAATTATACAAATTTAAAGATTGTTACATTTTCTAAAATGGCATTAATCATATCCATAAATATCAGTCCTACCTCCTCTGAAGTTGCCTCTGTTCTGGAAGCCTCCCCGGCCACTGCCTCTCTGTCCAGGTCCGCCACCACGGCCAAACTGGTTCTTGCCTCCCCGGCCACCACCACGCAGGCCGCCACCACCTCTTTTTGGTGTTGTGCTTCCCTGGTTGGGTTTCTTCTCAGCAGGCAGAGCGGTCTTGCTTTCCTCTTTGTACTGTTCCAGCAGCTTGGCAGCCTCCTCCTTCTGCAGTTCTGCATAGATGACCTCGCTGAAGCTCTCTCCCTCCTCAGGCAGAGAGTAGAAGCCTGTGACAGAGGGGAAACAACCAGAACATGATTAGGGGTGCAAAGACACAACCATATCATATGGGTTTTAAGTCCTAAACATCTTTTACCTTTCATTTTGAGGACAGCATGCTCAGGCACTTCTTTGCCATCACTTTCAACCTTCTTCTGGACTCTCTGCTTGTAGTCTTCATCAGAGGGACAGACCACCACAGCCTTGCGCTGGAACCCTGCAAACAAACACATCTTCCTCTTCTGGCCTGGAGCAGACAGATTAGTCTGGAGAGAAAAGACATTGCATTACATCTTTGATTTTAGTAATATCTGCATCAAATTGACAAAATGCAGAGTTCAGGTTCCTCACAAATAACTTACATGATCCAGGATGTAGTTCCTTTTCTTGCGGGCTGCAATCTCAATGAACTTTCCCAAGAAGAGTGGGGCTCGCTGGGAAATGGCAGTCAGTTTTGTAATGTCCTTTGACTGGCGTTTCAGGCTGTTGATCTGTGTTAAATGAGACAACATGAAAAGTTTTTTTTTTTTTTTTTTTTTAAAGAGGGGCACAATCTGTAAGACATACAGGATGACAAGGCATGTCTGAGCTGCCACAGAGCTGTTCTTCAGTACTCACCATCATTTTGTCCACAATGGTGTCACTGCCCAGGATGTAGTATTTCCCTGGGTTCTCCTGGACATGGTTCTTCACCCATGTAGTCTTCCCTGAGCCTGGCAGACCCACCATCACTATGATCTAAGATAAAACCATTGGGATCAAAGTCTTCTTATTATTATACATATACGGTTACTAACTACTTAAAAGAATACCTGCACCTATAATATGCTTACCTCACAGTCAGCCTTGGTCTGTGGCCCCTTGAGCCCCCGGACTCGCTCACTGACGGGGATCTGCTGCAGGAAGGTGTAGTCCTGGGGCTGAGGGAAATACGGAGTCTCCATTTGACCGAAGTTGAACTCCACAGCACAGTTGTGGCAGATTACATGTGGGAAGAGGGCCTGGCCATTCAGCGTGTCCTTGCTGACCTGGAACGCGACAGCAGGCTCCCCACCATTCTTGCAGAATGACAACACCACTTCGTCACCCTCAAAGTCCTAAGCAAAGAAAGCAAGACGGTTTCGGGTTTTCTGGTGTACATTAAATACAAGATCAACATTCTGCAGAGAATATTGCAATTTTACATTTGTGTGAGGTAGCTGGTCATTTTATTTTGGCTTGGTACTGTAAGAAATACAGATACAAATATAGTAGAATACAATCAGAGTTGTGTCTTACAATAAGGCAGCAGATGACATCATTCTCCTCAAAGGTTTCTCCAAAGTCTTCTGTCACACAGTTTGTGGTCTTCTTGCCTTTCCCAGAATAGGCATATGAATGCTCCTCCTCACCTACACAGTAATGGAATAATACACTAACCTACAAATGCATGTTGTGACAGCAAACAAATGGCATAGATTTATTAAGACACTAAGTCTCCAACAGTGAAACCCTGCAACTCATCTGCTGACACCCAGCCAACCACCATTCTGTGATGCACCCAGAGATGGAGCCATTTTATATGTACATGTCATACTGCTTACAAACCACTAGAGGGACCTCAAAGGTCAGAATGCCTTTCACAGAGGATAACAGCAAAGTGGCATGTTGTAGCAAATGGTGGCACTGATATTATAGGCAACAGCCCAAAACGCACTACTAGATTATCTACCGGTTTTCACCCAACAACATGTGTGATGTGACCAAGTAAAAATGGTCTTGACAATGAAATAAACAAACAGAAAGCCACTGTTGGTTGCAACACCTCAATCAAGTGATGCTGAACACAGCCAGAGTGTAATATGCCCAGAGCTAGAGTTCAACGAGACTGACCCAGGAGCAGCGTGCCAGTAGACAGCGACCAGCCAACCTGCACATCATGGATCTCCGTGTTCTTGCTGGAAATATGCTTCACTGGAATCTTCTCTGTAATCTGTCGACATGATGCAAAACACATGAACACAGGTTCCGCTTCCACTAGTCTAATGTTTGTATTAGCTTTACCATTTACACGCACTTTGTAAAAACTACTTCAAACTCCACATTAGCCTATAAACATTCAAGGACCTAAAGAACAGTGAGGTAGAGCAGAAAGTGGTTAGTTACTGCAAGTGCAGTGTACTTCAATGTTGTTACTGTACCTTCAACTCAAAGCAGGCTTTGCCACTGTTCACACCGTAGGTGGCCTTGCCTCCGGACCAGAGGTAAGCAAAACTCTCCATTGTGAGGGATGAGGCGCTGTAACGGTCCCGTGACACCTTGAAGTGCAGGTCGCAGTTGTCTAGAGCACAAAATTTGCATTTGTCAATTTGTATCTATGTAAACAAGTCTCTGACAAAGGGAATTAGAACCAAGCATGAATAGTGTTCTAGTTAACAGTCATGTGAGTCTTCTTGGCCAAATATTCCGTGCATATTCAGCTTTGAATTCAGTTAACCCAGCGGAACTGGAAAAACTTACAGGTATCCAGGCAGACTTTTGTATCATCAAACTCCTCGTCTTCTTCCTCCAGGGGTGGCACAGGAGACTTAAATGAGGCCCTGAAAAGAGACACCAGTCAGTCAGTCAGTCAAAGCATTCAAGAGTCAGTGCAGCTGCATGGAACATACAGCCTTGGGTACCACTTCCTGAAAAATATTGGAGAAGAGAAGTGGAAGGAGACTAAGGGAATACAAAACAGAAACAGTAAAGTGGGCAAGCGAGCCTCCAAACTTTCTGGATTGTCAGCTGTATTGTGGGCCGTTGCAGACAACACTTACCTTGCAGTATCCAGGGAAATCTAAAATGTGAAAGATACACAAAAAGAAAGCACCTTCGCCTCCCTCACCATGCAAGGCTATCCACTGGCTCGGTGTGTGCACCGTGGGGTCCCAGCAACTGGGGCTGTATTTGTGTACAACTTTTTGTGTATGAAACTCTAAATGAAAGGTCATGACTAATCACTTCTGTGCAACTGTGAAACTTTGCAATACAAGTTGTCACCCTGCTTAACTGCTTGCTATTAGCAATGACAATACTGAGCTACAGCAACTTACCAACTCTGTAGCTTGATATTATGTACTCTAACCCCTTAGTGGAAGTTAAAGAAACTACTCAAAATGTTTCAACAAATATATATATATATATATTAAAAAAAAGCAGATATCCCAGTGATGCTTACGTATTGTTTCAGCTGAAGCTGTGATCCAAGCCCAGTGATGTGGACTTGTATTTGTAGCAAGTAACTGATCTGGAGTTTAACGATCCATTCTCATCTACAGCAGTCTTAACATTTCTCCAAGTCCAGTGACATCTGTCATTGTATTTGTCCTCCAACAGTCCTGAGCGCTGTACAAATAGCTGCTGTTGGGGATATTTATAGTGGCTCTGGAGATCATACTATCTAGGTTGGAGCATACGGTCAGTGGTGCCTGTCAGCAGGTCACACACCGGCTGCCACTCTGTGGGGTCATGTAGGGAGGATTAAAGCTCTACAACTTTGAGAAAAATTCTGTAAAATGAATTTTTAGTTGGGGAAAAAAGTATCCATCCATCAGACAGGAGGAGGAGGAGGAGGAGGGGGAAAAAAAAACTAAAAAACTGAAGCCGACGCAATATAATCATGTTCCAATCATTCTGGCACCCTGAATATTTGTGAGGAATCCCAGACTTTTCCAAATTAGAATTTTTTTTTCTTCAAGAATACTTCCATTTTTAAATCTTTCAATCCTTAGTATGTCAACAGCGCAATGAAAACAAAACACTGACCAAGAAGTAGGTACATGTATGCCCACATACACTCATCAACACCCATACACACCATGCGTGATGTCACCTGCGTAGGGATAGAAAAGAGCCTTTAGAAACCATTTACCACACTCAACATGATAGCACACACATACGACATGATACATGAGACAGAAATAGCATTTTGACATCATACAACCAGTGAAATAAAAAAACAAAAACAAACTAACAAAAGAAAAAAAAAACCCATTGCGAGTAAAAACGATGGACCGTCAATAGCAAGCTCCTCTGTGGACGTTCCAAACACTTTGGGAAGTTTGCTACCCCGATGCAGTGGACCCCACCTCCCACACGTATCCGCTATTCCTCCCCACCCACCCTCCATTCAAGAGTGCACGTCTGCTACTTTCCTCTGGGTTCTCTTTGAGCAGCCTTGCTTCACCTTGAGGACACATCGGGCTTTCCAAAACAGTAAGTGGCATGAGGAACAGATATGAAAGTTCAGAGACTTGATAGATGCACTTCTGCTACAGAATGCAGTTGATTAAAGACACAATATGAATGGGCACTGCAGAGGGTAAATGGTAAGGCTCTTTAAGTAGTCAGGGATGACCCTCAAAAATGTGTGAAAGTAAAGTTAATAGTAAATAGTATATACTTGAAAATGAGGCTTTTCCTCTTGCTAGTTATATATGCATTGGCACTTAAAGCCAATACAGTTCAACAAAGCTATGGATGGCGCTTCAGGGGTGCTGAAGGCCATTTCTGCTCTGTTCCATCCTTACCAGCTGTATTTGTTCTCTTCAATAAATTCAAAGTAGCCCCTTCCATGTTCCTCCCGGCGTCTCTTAACACCCTTCTTATTCTTCTGATCAGCATTCGTGTCTTTGTCCGCATCTCCTTTGAAAATAGAACAAAGATATAGAATGAGGTGCTCCTTTTTGTGTGAGAAAGAGGTCGGACTGGCAGTGGGGTTCTGGCCCACAAAGCCCGTTCATTTATAACACTGTGTCGACCATAATCACAAATATTTAGGTAACTAAGAGGCAACACCTCATGATTACATTAAACAATACAATCATACTCCATAAATTGCAACAGCTCTAATGACCAGATAGTAATTACAATGTAAGCTGGTCCAAATGAACATTGTTTACTGGGGCTGGAAAAACAAGTCTCTGCAAGGTACAAGGCACATGAACCCTGTAATAAAGGGCTTAATAATTTACATATATAAAGTGTCATTAAGAGGCAAATTGTCAGGCAGAAATGCATCATGCAAGGAAACAGGGAAACCTACTTTGACCTGTAATGACCACCCTCTCCCCCATACCTTACCCTATATTACTCGAGTGCTTATTCATTGCAAGTCCATATTTTCTACTTGGATCCAACAAGATGACACTTCCTATTCAAATCACGGACAAACTAGCCATGTGCTAACTACACAAGCAGTTCAGCGCTCGCCCCATCTTCCGCACAGCACTGGCTTAGCTATTTCAGGTGTTCCCCGGCACTTTTGAAGTCCAGCACATTTTTGACTCGATACACAGTAACAACACGTACCATCTCATGCGCAGGAATTTTGTTCAAAGGAGTCAAATTTGATCCAAATTTCCAGACTTTGGAACCGCCCAATTGTCCTTTGAGCCTACGGTAACTAGCAACATGGCCTTGGAAGCACGAAACCCTAAAATCTTATTTTGTTTTTACGTTGACATTTTTGTTAATGTCAAAGTTTAAGCGGTTCATTGCGCACCTCCACCCTAACGTTACCACTCAATTCTGTATCCAGCCTTCCATGTGGGAACTACTGAAAGAGCTAAATACATGTAGCAGCTAGTTAGCACTGCACCACAAACAAAGAAAATGACGTTAGCTGTCTGGCTAACATGCTAGCCCAGCGAAAAGGAAAGGCAAACTAAGCTAAACTAGCAGCCTATTTCTTGCGTCATTCACTTAGTAATTGTAGTTAACAACAACCAGTTATAAAATAACGTTAATAATGGGAAAATTCACGATGGATGACTGTACTATCGATGCCCAGAAGTCGCAAAATTATTACCGTTAGCTAACCAAAGTGGTGACCGTCGGCTAACTTTAATTTAGCTAACCGGCTAACGTTAACGTTGGCCTACCAAGTTCACGCTATCTAGCTCAAGATGGACGCTGTTAATTTCCCAGCCGGCTCCCTCCCATAGTAGCATTAATGCTCGAGCAAAAACCGATACGCAGCCACAGACCATCGAGCCAGTCACATTTTTATAGCCATTTTGGTCGACTCACCCTCAGCAGCATGGTCCCCGGGCTCACCATCTTCTGCGTCTATTTTCTCCATGTCGTCCACATCTCCCTTGAGCATGGGGTCCATTTCGTCGTCCTCGTCCCCCTCACCCATCTCTTCGTCCTCGGCAACGGCATCACCGCTGCCATCCTTCTGTGGCTCTTCCTCCTCCTCGTTGGCCTCCATGCTTTCTTCTGTCTGGCCCTCGCCTTCGCCCTCGCCCTCGCCCTCTTCTTCTTCTCCCATACCCTCCTGATCTGCGGCCTGACCAATTCCCTCGTCGGGTGCAGCTTCTTGGTCCAGTGGGGAGTTTCCAGCAAGGGCCTCCTCGTCCAGCGCGGCCTGCAGGCGGTCCATCAGCTCGGCCTTCAGCCCCTTGTCCGAAAGATTACGCTTTTTCAGCTCATCCTTCAGCTCGTTAACTTTGAGCTTTTTAACATTGATTGAGCTCATTATTAATGTTTGATGGCAAAATATATCAAGTCAATTTCACGACTATGACGATAAATAAATTAGTAGACGCGCTCTGCTCAACGGATGTAGATCACAACTATGCCAAATGACACCCGCGGTCCAACCAATGTTTCACCCGTTAAAAAAAAACACTGTGCTGAGCCTGCGGTGTAGGATAGGAGGACAGTGTCCCCTACCGTAACTACCCAGCGAGCAGCGCAGCTTGCTTATTCTGCCAACCATCTGTCGCTGCCGTAATAACAAAACAAAAACGGTGCTGTGGAGGCACGAAACGCAGAGAAAAACATACGCCCATTAGACAGATTAAATCCAGGATATTACTTATCTTTATTTCATATTTACACAGCCATAATACATTTATAAGGGAATTGTTATAATAGGATTATAAAATCGGATAACTTCTAGAAAAAGGATAGTAATAAAGACGACAGAATACCGTAATGTACAAAATTAACCATAAGAATAAAGGTTCGTGTACGAAGTAAGCCGAGGTTAAACTGTAGGCTACATTATGTAAACATTTTGTAAAAGCAATGTCTTCCAGTGAAAAATATGATTTAGAAAACAGTTTAATGGAGTGAAGCTCATATACATACCAATTTTTCAAAAAAGGGAGCTATTTTATTAAACAAGTAGTTGAAAAACATTTTTCAATACATTGCTGGTAATTCAACTATATTCATATTTTACATTGTGATTCACGTAGTTACATTAGTTTTGCTCCATTTTTGTGTAGTTAACTACTGAAACTATAAATAAAAGCACAATAAAAGGAGATGAATACACTTTGAGTCATATCAGTTTGTCATATCAACAAGAGCTTCTGCTCTGACAAATGAAAAGATGGTCAAACACTTAAAGAATAAAATTATATATTTATATTTATTTATGTATTGGGGAGTGAAGGGTACTCTCTGGGAAGGTAACCAAAGGGTGAAGCTATTCATTATCATGCTAGCTGATATTTTCTGGGTGTTTGTAGGTTTGCTACAACCCTTGCAATCCCAGGAGATATGGGATGGATGGCTTGTGAAGTTAATGGAATTTACTGCCAGGTTATGGAATAGGTTAACTGGTATGGCTGATACTAGGCAAGCTAAACAAATATTTAAATGTGACATACAACAAAAATAGCCTTGGATAACAAACATGACATGTGTTCTATATTTGGGTTTGAAGAATACTTATGACAGTTGCAGAAATTGAGTAGTATTGCAGTAGACTCAGTTAAAGCAGCATAGGCTACTTATTGTGAGATTAAAAATGACAATTTCTAAAAAATTATGTATTTATTAATCTTGAAAAAGAAAAGGGAAATAATGAGATGGTGGACATGAATGATTCACAAAGAGACATGCTTATTATTTAAGGAATGCTTGGGAGCTTAGGAAGAAAACTTCATGCCAGTAAGAAGTGAGATGATGATGTGATTATGATAATAATGTATGATTTAGAAAGATTATATTAATTAATTAGTTCCTTTTGTTTGAATTACTGGAAGATGTTTTGAAGGAAGCATTATGTTGTCGATATATGATGTAAAGGTGTCCTGTAATCCCATGAGGGGTGGGATTTGAAATGGCATCACATTTTAATATATCCCTTATTCCAGACAGACTTAGATCTGAGGTAATAAACTCAGCTGAGTTACATTTGTTGTTACATATGTAGTTCAGCTTCTTGATATCTAGAAAAGCTACACTGTTTATAGAGCATTTCAACTTTTATCCATGTTGCAAATTCTTAAGTGTATATAAACATATATTTCTTCTTTATGCTCATTTGAATCTTTATTACAACTGTTTAACTGTTCGTCACTGGTCACTTGCTTTAGCAAACATATGATTTCATCTTCTCATAAAGAGAATGGTTGATGACTATAAATCTGCACCTATACATAACTGAAGGAAAACAAATGCTGCAAATTTCAGACTTTTCTCGGTTACTCTGGATTTTTTTTTTTTAAATGTATCCCCAAACCTCTCTAACTATTAAGCACTTAAATCTACCACCTTTGTGGAAAAAAACAGTGAAGCTCACTTGACGTGAGCTGTAGTCTCCATCTTCTGTTACGCCTGCTTTTCTATTCAACTGATTGTCTCTATATTTCAATGGGGCCTAAATGTTTGAAAACTCCCTGCCTAAAGAATTAGCCTGCGTTTTGAAAAGAAAGAAATTCCAAGTAAAAATCCACAAACAAAGGGTGCAACTGCAAGTTGTGCTGTTTGTCTGAAGACTTGCTCCTTACCGCCTCACCGAGGAGCTTATAATAAATGGCCAAGTCAATTCAGGACGGGTCCGTCTGAGCGCGCACTCGTCCCCCGCTGTCATCGCATCTTTGAGACAGTGGGTCTCCAGCCTCTTAGTTTGCCATAGTTTTTACTTAAGCTCACCATGAGTGAAATACTTTTTCTTTTTATCCGTGGAGCTTCGGCAAAATGAAATAAAACTCCACCCCACCTTTGTTTGGATATCTTTTTAAATATTAACAAGTTCTCATGCCATGTCTGACTGGAAGAGGAGACAGATTTCCTGCCTCGGTCAAAGGAGAACACTGAGTCAGATCTATTCTTTTTGAGCACAGCTTTGTTAACATTTGTCAAAGACTGCATGGTCCACATGCACTTCCACGTAAGACGAACACTGTTGCGCTGCTAAAACATTTGGGTGTGGTTACACTTGTCCACGTCGATTCATATCTAATTTCCCACAGCCAAAGCCCACATGCATCCGTTTTCTAACGATGTACATCTCAGAGCTCAGAAGTGCAGCATCACTGTGAAGCCGCTTTTCTGCAGGTGTTAAAGGGAAAGACCACCAGTCCAAGGAGCGCCTTACTCCTGAGGGAGCCGGGGGGTCTATGTGCCAGAGAGCGGACGCTGTCTCGTCTCACATGTCCCTCCCTGGGTCTGTGGGAGACCGTATCAGGAGTACAATGTCGTTTGGTAGCGGGACTATATGCAGAGGCTCTGTGTCGGCGGACCCCGGCTTTGTGAGTTTTGATCGGAAAGTTGCGTGTTGTGAGAAGTGTTCAGCGACCCTTGTTGCTCTGAAGAAACAGGCTCTGAGTCTGGCTGTTCACCATCACTTCTCCTGCAAGGTCAGTAACCACAATACTCTACTGGAGCTGGAGGATGATGTAGTGGATTAGGCCCTATCATAAATGCACTTAGGCTCAGTCTGCTCTTTTTTTTAGCTGATTCTTGATAAAATTAGGAAAAGCATTTTAAGTGTTGGCATAGAAAAAAATCTAAAACATCTCAGGACTTTTCAGCAGGTGGTGGTACTGGGTAATATTTGTGAAATAAATGAAAATACACAAGGATACTGCTATTTTTATGGAATACACCTGTGAAGTAACAGTTATTTTAAAAACTGTGATTTAAAACAGATTCATGAGCATGTATGAGCTTCAGATATAAGCACAGTAGATATACAACAACATAAAATCAAGCATTATTAATATTAATCAGTTCATAGAGCAGCAGAATTTATTTTTTAATTGCTTTCTGACATTTTAGGGACCAAATATTTGATCAGTTAATTAAGAAAAAAGTATCAACAATGAAACTAACCTATGGTTGCAGCCCCTCTAATCACACACTTTGTTTATTAAACTGCTACTGGTTTCTGACAATGTATGTTTAAGAATAAAAAAGTGTGTTAATGATCACGTGGGCACATCAGTCTTTCCAGTGCTGCCTCTGAGAGGAATGCATGCCCATGATACATTTCTGCATCCATCTGCATGAACACATTCAAATCGACAAAGTAAACCACTGCCACTGCTGCACGAGCGGTTTCAAATGGGCATGAATATTTCATCTCGACATCCTCGTGTCGTCTCCACAGGCCTCCCCATTGAGCGAAGGCTATTTATTTTGTACTCTTGAGTGGGATGGGGCATGGATAGAATGTTTTCAGAGAAATACCACAGTGTGAGCAGGACAGAGAGATGCTGTGGCCAGAGACATGGTCCAAGAAATCTTATAAGACAACTACAGTAGCTCCCTGCAGGTTTATTGATCTCAGCCTGATGTCTCCAAAGCATCATGCTCTGTAGTGCTATCTTTTCATATGGGCTTATAATCTGACAAAGATGGAAAGTCCAATCACTCGTGCACCTTGTATATTATCATTCTCTTTATGAAATGCAGAGCACCCACCTGAAACAGGTGCAAGGATTTGTGTAGTTTTCCTCTTTGATGTAGCATAAAGAGGCTTAGTTATCCCTTAATATTATTTTATGGAAGAACTACATGTAGATCTTGATGTTTCAGCACCTTTGGAGTTTGAATGACTTTGTTTTACATACTTGCTCAAAGCTTTAATAGTAGGTTGTTCCTCTGGGAGAATATGGGTCACAGGCAATGTATTGGTAGCAGGATGGATAAAGATGTACAGGGAGTGTGTAAGTGTGTTGGACGTCAGAACGTGTCAAGGGCAGAACAAATACGATGTGAGATGAAAAGTGTGTCTTTGTCAGGATGAAAAGCAAGATGATGCTTGATGGCAGTTTGTGTCCAGGCTGGAACTCAGAGGTCAAAAGACTCTTTAAAAAAGTAATTAGTTTATAACATTTTCAAACCTCATGTTGCCAGAGTTTTCCTGTTTAGTCAACTTGAAATTTATAGGTACATTTTACTAAGATGACAGGGGTGGTATTAATCAATACAACTGACTCTATGATTACTTCACTCAGTGCTAAGATTGCATGTAGTGCCTTCCCATGACTCAGTTTTCATTTGCTCAACAATCATTCATGTAATTCTCAAACCAGATATCACACAAAGCAAATTAACATCATTATTGTGTCTTCACTCGAACTGTGTACTTACTAGGTTTTGTGGAAAAGGAGCTCAGGTCAATTACAGGAAAGTGTAAAATGCACAAGAATAACATTTTAAACAAGTCTAATTCTGGTTTTTAATTGTAAAATTATGTCTGCTGTTTCTTTTTTTTTTTTCTCAAATTTTATAGGACTATAGTGGCCTGTCAACATTTCTTAATGACAACCTTCGTGTCCATATTCGGTCCACCACTGAATCCATGGACAGACAGAGAGAGCAGGGCCGGTGTGGAGCCTGTGGTACAAACCTATACGAGCTCAAACAAGAGGCCATCCACCTGGCCCTGAGTAGGGGTCACTCATTAGCAAAGCCCTCATTTGAACCCAGCTTCAGCACTGGCACACTGCTGGGACGAAGTGAGACAAAGCATGGGGACAGGGCTCCAAGGGAAGCTGCCACAGCTGTGCATCAACCACATAGTCAACCCCACAGTCCTCACAGCCCGCGGAGCCCCAGGACTCCTCAGAGGACCCCTCAAACCCTCAGAAGGAGGGGCCCCAAGCTCCCCAAACCTGATATGGGCCACTGGGTAGAGGAGCAGCAACAGTTGGTCACTTCCAAATCTGTGTCCAGAGCTGATCGTGTCACCATCTACCCTTACCAACAGGTACCCCTCACAGCTTTCTCTTACCACCCATCACACATCTCTAAGTGAGCAGACCTTTTAATGAGCCATATGGGTAATGTACATCTTGACACCTGCATGTGTCCATGTGTCAGCTAGACAATGATTCATAGTGCCTAATCAGAGCTTTGATCCCGTGCCTGAGGACGTTGTTTAAAAGTACTTTTGCTAATGGAATGGAATTGGGTCATGATTTACCCCTGTCATAAAAGCCAGCCAGTCAAAAGCACAAAAGCACTTGTGATCAATAGAGGGATGGTCATATTTAACAGGGTGGCCGGTGAAATGCTGTATGCATTACTGTGATGGAACCCCTCAGCAGATTGAGCCCACCATCCCCAGACTCCAGTAAAAAAGCCTAGAAAGGTGAGAATTGTTTTATATGATGTAGTTGATTCAGTTTTGGTGGGATTTTACTGCTGATCCCTATGGACAAGAGGAAAATTCTCTGTCCTGTAAGCTGTAAAAAGGTACGGCAGCTTACTGGTGTTGTGCATGGGGCAATAGTTACAGCTTTTGTCAGTCACTTTAGCAGTTGTTTATGTCATGCTGATCAAGATGTTTTATATTGGTTCTCTGTTGAATAGTATGACCTCCCAAAAACAAGCCACTAGTTCATTGCAGATGTCATTACATGCAAAATTGGTGAACTAGTTGTCTTTAGTATGTAATGTTGTATCACAATAACAGTAAAAATGGTAAAAGTGTAAACGTGAATCTGTCCAGTCTTTTTCAATCAGTCTCCCACATACAGTAATGTGAAACTTTGTACTGTTGAAAGTGATACATGCCATAGAGAAAAAGTGCAGCCTTGTGCATTTTCAGTCATTGTCATTAAAACCTGAGCAATAGTTGGCATCAGAGGATACTTCCAGAGCACACTGTTATATTGGAAACACTGAGTAAGATGGAGAGGGTGTTTTCATCCAACTCATGTTAGCATAATTAGCAAGTGGCTAATAACAGCTAGCAAAATAGAAATGAGAAGCAAAGTTTTATCTGCCTTTATCTGATTTAAAATACTTGTGTTGTTTACAAGAATTTCAGGGGTTAAATCTGCCACTGTTATCATCAAGTGCTATGTGACTGGAAATCTTGACCCACATAGCAACAGTAACTGAAGGGTGGGGCTGAGCAAATAGTCAGATGGACTGGAAATGTCTTGAAAGTAACATTGTAACCAACCTGTTAGTGTTAATTGAATGCAACATCTTACTCTAATGACAGTTTCCTGGTTTGTGCAAGACTGTAGAAGATGCTAGCCAGACGGGTTCAGAATGAGAGCAGATCAATAGAGGCTGGTGCAGCTGAGATGAAATAATATGAGAGTAGTGAAAGTGGAGAGGAGCAAGGAAAGAGGAGGCAAAAGGAAGGTGGAGGAAAAATGAACTGCACAAGAAGACAGTGAAATTAAGTGTTTAAGATGGGAGATAGGATAGAACGGATGAAGGAGTGAAGGGTGAGAAACAAGACAACAAGAGATAGTTAATGCCCATATGAAAGGGAATACAGAGAGAAATCAGAACAGGGAGAGAGAGACAGATAGTGAAATGAAGGCAAAAAAGGACTGATACAGTATACTGTAAGTCCACAAGAAGAGCGGAGGGATGGGGAAGTATCTATGCAATTTTACTTATTACCTCTGTCCTTACAAATTTCCTCTCTGTCTTCTGCCAAACCAACTACTACTGCAGTTGTCCTGTGGCACTAATTGGCATTATATGGCTGGACATTATTAAAAGAAAGAAAAAACAGAGCTGGTATTGTTATCTTGCTGAGACACTGATGAGATGTGAAGCTTGACAGCACTGTAACACAAAGATGCTGGCTCTGAGGCTGGCAGCGAGTCGCTGTGACCTCATGTTGAGCAGCAGCATACATATGCTGAACAGGTCATGTTGCACACAAATGCCAGTTATGAATGAGTGTAAAACATATGTCTGTTTGTGTTAGAAGCCGTGATAGAACGATCATTGTGCCTCTTCAACTCTGAGTTCGTTTAAACTCTGACATCATACACTGTTCCTCCTATACCTTGCATGGCTAACTAGAGTCATAATGTGAGTAATGGCTTATGTTTAACCCAGTATGCTCTGAGACTAGATGCCCTACCTAGACAGATGCACCCCATCTTCCTCCCTAGAGTTATTCCTGTGATAATAGACCCTTTTGGAATGGGTGCTGGTGTGCAATTATACATTTGGATGTTTATAATGAGCCCTCTTTCCTGGTAGGCTGCAGATGATGCAACACCAGGCTGTGGTGATGCTGGGGTGGTACAGACCAGCTCAAAGATCCCTCACATCTCCAGAGTAGTGACCATTGCCAATGCTGCTGCGATGTCCTTTTTGGCTAGGTAAATATACTGTATCTATATGTGAATTAAACAAGCAAATGTCTGTGTAAAAACTTGTGTTATCTGCAGCCTGTCTGAACTGATTACACCATAAGTTTCATATGATACGCCACCTTCCCTCCTTCCTGCAGAGCAGCTGAAAAGCTCAACCTGACATCGAGGAAAAAAGGCCAGGCTTCTGATCCAACTCCCGCCCATCTCCCCACCTGTTTCAGGGAGATCATCCAGAAGAACCCACCACGCATCCCCTCCTGCCTGCTCCAAGCTGCCACCAGAACAAAGGACTCACCCAGCGTTGACAAGGTATACCATGAGGCTTCAAATTCCAGTACATGTACATGCAGATTTTTCTATATTTCAATAAAACAAATCTTATTTGGCTGCAGGTTCATTTTAATTCAATTCACATCATTTCAATTTATTTGTATAGTGCGAGTTCACAACAGTTGTCTCAGGGCACTTTACATAATCAGGTCTAGACCTTATACTATAAGAAAAACCCAACAAATGCCCTTGGAGCAGCACTTGGTGACAGTCGGGAGGATAAACTCCCTTTAATGGAAGAAACCTTCGACAGACCCCGGCTCTTGGTGGGCGGCCTTCTGCCTCGACCAGTTGGGATGAGTGGATAGAGGAGAGAGAAAAGAAAAGCACTGAGACACAACAGGTCATTATGGTACCATGAAATAGCAAAAGCCATAACATGCTAAATACCTTCCTACTCTCCATCACTGTCCTACTAGGATTATAATACTATACAGTATCCACAATATACAGTGCATACATATGCACACACATAAACACATGGGCATTATACTTGGCTTACTTGACACTGGCTGTCCTCTTCTTGAATTTACTCACTAACCTGACACACCAACTTGCCAAAATGAGTTGAACATAATATCTGTGAGGTGGTAAAAAAAAGTTGAATGACTTCAACCTAAGTGTATGTCAATGTCTTGTTAAGGAACAGTCACACAGGACTAGGACCTAAAATGCAGACCATGGCTAGAATGGAGCTCAGAAAGTCTTTATTTACACAATAAGGTACAATGAACTATGGTACAATAAGGTACAATCTACAGACTGTACTCTCCAAATATTACCAACATGTGGACAGTCCCACCCAGGGCAAGAACACTCTGGATCATGTTTACAGTAACATACATGGTGCATACAGGGCTGCACCCCGCCCCCACTTCTGATACTCAGACCACATTTCCTTGTTCCTGTATCCAGCCTACAGACAAAGACTGAAACAAACAAACCCTGTCACCAAACAAGTTAAACTCTAGACCCCAGAGACAGAAGGCACCCTGCAGGAACACTACACAGTACACAAATACTACTCCAAATAGTCAGTCAATAATACACAATTAAATGTGCCATAGACTGGGAGAGCATTCATATAGAAGCTCGGTATATGAATTAAATGATGTTTACCCAGGGGAGGTGACAGTGGTGCGGTGGGATGGTTAGAGCCATCAGATGAGTTGGCGCCGCAGATGGCTACCATCAGTTATTTGGGGAGGTGACAGTGGTGCGGTGGGTAGAACAGTCATCTCCTAACCAGAAGGTTGAAGGCTCAAATCTCAGTGTTTCCAGTCCAAGTGTCCTTGGGCAAGACACTGAACCCCCCCGATGGTTAGAGCCATCAGTTGAGTTGGCGCCGCAGATGGCTGCCATCGGTTCTGTACCGGAAACAAATTCCTTGTGTGTAACATACTTGGCCAATAAAAGTGATTATCCTTATTTGGCCCTAAAGAGGGGAGTCCCACAAAAAGCAACACCATTTTCCAGACCTAACCTACCCTTAACACAAAGCATCCATGAACACTACCCTCACCCAAAGAGCAGATACTATATGTGGCTTAACATCTGCATTGTATTTTATTCTCAGCAGTTCTTTTTTTAAAGGGCATCAGATACACAGATTACAGACTATATAGTATTTCCGTTAATACTGTACTTGCAATACTTAAAGAATTAGGGTTGTCAAAGCAGTGTTCCAGGACTGATTTTCAGGACTCATGACTCGACTCAGACTTGAACAGTGATGACTCGGACTTGGGCTCAGGCTCGAATATTGACTGCATTCAAACTCGGAAATTGGAAACGAGGACTTGGGCTTTTTTTTTTTTTAAATAAACCAGATTTGTCTCTTTAACATTGGGGTGTAAGCAAACTAAATCAAATGTCTTCATTAGTAAAACTTTAGTTCTAGATTTCCCAGTCTTTATGCAGTGCTACTCACTTCGTCTGTCAATTTAGCAAGTAGACACAAGAGTGTAACCAGTCCTCTCATCATTCACTCTTGGCAAGAAAGTGAATAAGTGTATTATCCAAAATGCCAAACCAATTCTTTTAAACATAAGTTTCTAACTAAGACAGAATGCAGGGAGCTGTGTGAGCAAATGATGTGTAATTGGAAGTCTAGTTGCAGTAACAGATTAATTCATCAGACGTCAAAACACTGCTCAGTGGTTGGTATAGTCAGAGACAGGATTTTACTGCTCTAACTGTAAAATTGTCACGGTGGCAACTATATTTTCTTTAGCCATGATCATGAGTTATCCGGCAGAAATGCAGCATTCATGTGCATTACTGGATGATGTCGTGTTGTAGCTAAGTTGAGCCATAGACAGAACTGTGATGACACCTCCATTGCACCAACAGACAGCAGCATTTCAAATTGATGTAAGGGCTTTTACGCAGGGGTGATGTCATCCTAAACACAGCCTAACCAATCATAATCTCTCATGATGCCTGACTTGCAAAGTGTTTCTCTAGTAGTATACACTGACATTTCACTTTTAAAATATTGAATAGAATAGAAAATATAAGCTGAATTAAATATACTTCCACCAACAGTGATCTTATAGTGGTATAAGAAGACAATTAGAGTCACTTGATGAAGATCTTGTGTTACATGGGCCACTTTGTATCTTATATGTGTAAATACATAGAATAGGTCTGGGTTGGTGGTGCATCTTACCACCATCCTTACCAACAACCTCCACCTTGGAAGTGTTTTTACCACCCATGTTGGCAAGTAAAGAGATTACAGTCAGTTTGGGGGAGATCCTATATCGCTCCTCCTTCATGATACATTGTAATATATTGCTAATGTCTCCATCTTCTTCCTCCCCTCCTCTCTGCTTCCCTCCTCTGGGAAAAATAGGGAGATCAATATGGCTGCCTACCCTAGTCTTGTCCCAGACACATGGGCTCTTGGGTTTAGTATAGAGTTACAGATAAGGGCCACACCTGCCTGAGCACTCTGCTGTGTGTGCGTACATGTATGTGCACAAGAGCAGAGAAGGATTTTTCTCTGTCTTTAAAAGGGTGCCTTGAATAATTTAGCCATCATAAATAGAGTTTGACACATGTTCAATAGGGTTAGGGTTTGTGCATAAAATTATAAGGAGGGGTAGAAGAAAAAATCTTTCACCAGCACTGGAAAATTATTATGTGGCAGATGGAATATGGCATTGTTAGGTATTTTTAGTCAGATAGAAATTGGATAGATACTTTATGTATTAGAAATGTTTAGTGGAGATAGGATGTCTAGTTAGACTGTTAAATGCTTAGGCATGCTTATGAGTTTCTACAGGGTACATCTGGGCAAGGATAACTAGAGAGAAGAGTTGATGACTGTCAGCAGACAGGATGTTTAATATTATTATTATGACGTGTAGAACTGTAGCCTTAGCCATAATATGTTCCTATGTTCAAGTCACGACATGTACTAGAGGTTGTGGGAATGTTTTTAGCTACACACCACTTAACCAACAGACACACACATTCACACGTTGATTTGCTTCATGTTTTGACTACTGCTATAGCCAGCTGCAAAGCTGGTAACAGAGACGTCTCGGTTGACGTTTCTGTGTAGTATGGGGCTAGCCCAACCGAGGGGATATAATGTATTGGCCTGGTGGGTTCAGGGTCTTTCATCTTACATCTGCCTGCGTGCAGGTTGGAGGTGCAAGATACCTGAGCGTGTAATGTTAATTTTACCTGTGTTCATGGAATAAATCAGCACTGTGTTGAAGTTACTTGGACTGTCTCGTCTCTTAGAGTTAGCAATGGTTATAAGAACCATATCCTGCAGCATTCAGGTTTTTAAATGGTCAGTGACGGATGATGTCGTCATGATGTAATGCAGTCCTGTACAATTTCAAGAAAACCACATTCAACTGGGTGTCATGGTGCACAGGGCTACTTGCAATCTCGCAGACCTGAATCGTGATTATGAATCACTTTATAATTGGTTTAAATACCACAACACAGATTATTGTCTTCTGTGAGGTGAATGTTTTGCCTTGTCGTCCTGCAGATTAAGACCTATGAGTCTTGGTAAATCGCTGTCAGAGTCAGGATCTAACTTGATTTAAGACCTTAAAGCCCCTAAACCCTACGGCTTCCTGTAGAGAAATGCATTAAAGAATTAATGTCATGACATGTGGAAATATAGCAAGAGGCATGCATTGCCATGCAGCTGTAAGTGGATGCATAGTCTCTGAACTAACCAGATCAACTGGCTGTTTACCACAGCTGAAAGAAAACATGGCTTTGTTTCATTTAAACATAGATGACAACATACTGCTCATTATTGCATTTACAATTGCAATTTTAAAAACAGATGTGAAATGTATATCACTGTAATTTTGTAACAGGTAACTTTTAAACAGCAAATCTGAAGATTTTGTGGCATCCATATTTAGATTTTAGAGTTTTCTCGCTCTATACAGATTTTGGCATGCAAGGATTCAGAATCAGAATCTACTTTACTGCCCAGGTGTGTCGGACACACAAGGAATTTGACTCTGTACATCGGCTCTCAATGTGTATGTAAATATCCCCATGCAAGGGGCAAGTAAACAGTAAACCAGTGTAAGGCTGTGTAGTATAACAAAAGTAATAAGCAGTATTAACAAGCAACAACCAGGGCAAACGATGCAAAATAAGCAGTATAAACAGGCAGTAAATAATGCAGACAGACAAAGGAATGCTCACTGAAATAAGATAAGTAGGAATAAAAACAGAGTACTTAAAAATAGAGACCTGTACGAATCTGTCTAATCTGTACAATGTATATTTACAGGTATTGCACTGAGGGTTATTGTCCAGTCATACTGTTGTGGGTCAAGTGTTCATCAGAGTGATGGCCTGGGGGAAGAAACTGTCCCTGTACCTGGTTGTCTTGGTGCACAGTGACCTGTAACGCCATCCAGAGGGGAGGAGTTCAAACTGATTATGTCCAGGGTGTGAGGGGTCAGCAGTGATCCTCTCCGCCCTCCTTTTGACCCGTGAGGTGTACAGGTCCTCTATGGAGGGCAGGCTCACACCAATGACCTTTTCTGCAGTCCTGACTGTCTGCTGAAGTCTCTACTTGTCCTGTTTGGTTGCTGAGCCAAACCTAACAGTGATGGAGGTGAAGAGAACAGACTCGATAATTCCCCTGTAGAACTGTATCAGCAGCTCCTGGGGCAGGTTGAACTTCCTGAGCTGGTGCAGGAAGTACATCCTCTGCTGTGCCTTCTTGGTGATGGTCCTGATGTTGGACGTCCACTTCAGGTCCTGGGAGATGGTGGAGCTACAACTAACGTGTTTGTCAAACCTGCAGTAGAACTCATTGAGGTCATCTGCTAGTTGACAGTCCTCCACAGCAGGGGGGGATGGTTTCCTATAGCCAGTGATGCTTTTCAGGCTTCTCCACACAGACGAAGGGTCGTTGGCTGAAACCTGAGCTTTCAGCTTTTCAGAGTAGCTCCTCTTTGCTGCTCTGATCTTTGTCAGTGTGTTCCTTGTCTGGCTGTACAGAGTCCTGTCCCCACTTCTGTAAGCCTCCTCTTTGGCACGACGAAGCTGCTTGAGACTTACTGTGAACCAGGGCTTGTTGTTGTTGTATCTGCAGAAAGGCTTTTTGGGCACACACGCATCCTCACAAAAGCTGATATAAGATGTCACAGTGTTCGTCCAGGTCTGTATTTGCAGTCTCAAATACACTCCAGTCTGTGCAGTCAAAGCAGGCCTGTAGCTCTGACTTAGCCTCCTCAGTCTAGCTCTTCACTGTTTTGACCACAGGCTTCGCAGTGTTAGGTATTTTTAGTCAGATAGACATTGGTTAGACACTTCATGTATTACAAATGTTTAGTGTAGACAGGATGTCTAGCTCAGGCTGTTAAATGCTTAGTCATTCCCATGGGGTACTCCAGGTTGTTTATGTTCAAGGATAACTAGATAGAAAGTTGATTACTGTTAGGAGACAGAATGTTTATTGTTATGACGTGTTTAATCATAATCGTAATCATAATATTTTCTTATGCTTAATGTCATGACATGTCACTAGATGTCATGTCAGAATGTCTTAGATACACACCACACAATCAAC